TTAGGATACGCAAAGGTGTAATTTGCATAATCTGACATGTAACTCGTCTACTTATGAGGGGAATTTAGGATGGTGTGTTTGTTCTTTTGGGGAATTTGGCTATTTTTGTATGTTACTCTTAATAAAAAAATTTAAAAACTCATGGAATTTAGATTCTGGGGGTTGAATCTCTGTGATTCTTTTAAGATCAGTGTGTAAGAACCTTTAATCACAACTTTTTCTTAATCTCTATAAAAATCAAGTTAATTTCATGTGTGGCTAAAAACATTGATCAACAACTTATGACCTGAGCAATGAAAACATTTAAAACTAAGCGCATCATTTGAGATTATGAAAACAAATAGATATGGAAATATTGCCATCTAAGCTACCTTTTAATCAGCCAAGCCAAAAAAGCACCAGAATGAATGCTTAGCACTGAAGTGAAACTGATCTTGCACAGTGCACATTATTCGGGAAACTTTCACCAGTTTAAAGTCAAACAGGATAATAATGTCCAAACTCTAAAACTCAATGTCCTCTAATGCACAAAATGACAATTTCTTGCTTTCTTGATAGAACAAGACAAGCTGGGGAGGCATTGAATTGTCCTTGAATAATATGTCTGAACAAGTGTGGGGAAACCTGATAAAATTCCTCATAGGGTCAGAGCTGCCCGAGCCGGCCGCTCTGGCACCAGCATCACAACTGGCTCTGTGATTAAGCCATGGGAGCCATTTTAGAGCTGATTATTCATGGTGCTACTGTACTGATGTTCCACTACATCAAATTCTCTCATTAGGTCATCCAACTCTAAAGGCTATTAAATTTTCAGTCAGCATGAATAAGTTAAAGGACTCTGCCTCGGATCATGCTGTACGAAGAGTCCCTAAACTCATCACAGGTGCTCTGGAAAAGAGAGAGGGAAAAAACCCTCCTTTGGTGCAGGACTAACATTTGCTCAATTAAATACATGAAAAGGGCAGGGGCTGGCAGTAGGGAAGTTTTTTAGATTTAAAGCCCTGTGTGTGGTGCCAGACAGCATTTTTAGAAGTATCGATTGGAATTTCGCTTTGGGTAAATGACTCCCAATGGGATCTCCTTGGAAACTGGAGCAGCGCCAGACCACTGACTGTCTAAGCAACTTAATGCAGATATAAATCGCCATTCCAATCAAGGCCATTTTATTTGCAGGCTTAACTGAGGCAATACGTCACCTGCAGAGCTGTGAGTTTTCGTCAATAAAACCCTGTCATATACATTAAATGAATGCTGCAATGATAATATACCTTTTTTTTCAATGAGGAATACTTTCCCTGGTCTTAGCGTGTTTAAGAACAGTTTTGGGTCACTAGCTTGCTACAGTTAGTCACAATTGTTATGATTTTCCCTGTGTTTTACTCGAAGACATGTAATGTGAAAAAGCATGTAGCAGTTAGCAACAGTAAAACAAAAAAGCCTCATATTTACATTGCTTTATTATCTAACAGATTTTCAAAAGATTTAGATTTTTGTGATAACAGCCCTTTTAGAAAAAAAATTGTACAGCAAAAGGTGCTCTTAACATGACAGTTAAGACTTTCTGAAATGAGGTTCTGTGTTTTGTGGACCTCCAGAAGGCTTATGACTGTGTCCCTTGAGGCATTTTGGTGAGAGTATGGGGTGTCTGGGTTGCTATTAAGAGTGATCCAGTCCCTGTGTTACGACCCGGCTCAAAAGCCATAACATATGTGAAGACACGACACGGTGGAATCAGTTTAAAACCTTAAAAAGGTATTTATTAAAGTTTTTGTCTAGGATTAGGTGAGTTTGTTGGCCCGGTTTGGAGCTCCGTAGCTCCCGAATGCACCGGACATCTCTCACCAAGCTGGACCCTCTGAAGTCTGTGGTCCAGGTTTACGTTCCACCTGTTATGCGCAAGTCTGTGGTCTGGTTCCCTCGACCACCGTYGTGTCCTCCGTGCACCTCTGCGTTCGCGCTTCAGTGTCCTCTCTCCCGTGAGGCACGCCGGATGAGAGAAGCAGCAGCAGACCGTCAGGATAGGTGCAGCATGAAAAATCCACATAAGCCACAGAGCGTTGAACCTCAGAGCCGTCACCAGCCACACAGCTCTCCTCAGCTCAGTCTGCAGCTCCACACAGCTCAGCTCTGGCCACACAGCGCTCAGCACAGCTCACCGTGCAGCTCTGTACACTGCACTCTCCACAGCTCACCGTGCAGCTCTGAGTACAGCTACACATTCAGCTCTGTGTGCAGCTCCACATTCAGCTCTGTGTGCAGCTCCCAGGTGTGCGCTTAAAAGGAGCACAGGCCACGCCCCCTAAGGAAGACCTGTGAGGAAGCACAATTAAGGAAACTGGTGGCAGCTGGCTGCAATTAACTAAGCAGCAGGGCCGTCACACCCTGTATAGCAGGGGCCGTGTCCGCATTGTTGGCACAACGTTGAGCTTGTTCTCAGTGCAATTTGGAGATCTTCAGTGTTGTCCCTTGTCTCCAATCCTGTTTATAGTGTTTATGGACAGGACCTTAAGGCACAGTCGTGGAGAGGAGGCTGTCTGGTTTGGGAAACATAGGGTCTTGTCTCTGCTTTTTGTGGATGATGTGGTTCTGTTGCCGTCTTCAAGCCAAGACCTTTAGCATACACTGGGGTGGTTCGCAGTCGAGTATGAAGCGGCTGGGAGGAGTAAGCTCCTCTAAGTCTGAAGCCATGAGTCTTGACCAGAAAAGGGTGGAATACCCCCCTGGGTCAGTGTGAGATCTTTGCCCCAAGTAGAGGAGTTTATGTATCTGGATATCTTGTTCACCAGTGATGGTGGGATGGAGCAAGAGATGGTTTGACAGATTGAGGTTTCATCCTCAATAATGAGGGCGCTGCTTCTATCAGCTGTGATGAATAAAGAGCTGAATCTAAAGACAAATCTCTCAGTTTACTGGTCTGTCTACATTCCAACCCTCACCTATTGTCATGAGGCGTGGATCATGACTAAAAGAGTGAGATCCTGGATCCAAGTGAACAAGATGAGCTTTCTTCGTAGGGTGGCTGGGCTCAGCCTTAGAAATTGGGTGAAGAGCTCCGTCATCTGGTGGTATGAGTTGAACTGCTGATTCTCCACATCCAAAGGAGTTTGGGCATCTGATTAGGATGCCTCCTTCTAGAGGCGTTCTGGGCATGTTCTAGGAGGCCCTGGACTCACTGGAACTGAAAAGTGTTGCTGGGGAGAGTGATGGCTGGGTTTCTCTCCTAGACCTGTTGCATCTGCGACCAGACTATGGATGAAGAAGGTGGAGATGTTTCTGTGGAAGTGTTATAAACAATAAGTGTCTTGCTTGTTTTTGGTATAAGAACATTGGTTTTGTAGAAGTAGAGCTTAAAAGAGTTTAATTCTGACCAAAACCAAAGTCATTTTCCTGCCATTTTTAAACAACTTCACACTCAAAGTTTTCATGGAGTTTCATGTGAAGGTTATTTATAAGCAATCAGTTTCATTTTAATGATTGTTAATTTAGAAATATATGGTTACTTGTGAGTGCTAATAGCATCTAGCTTTAGCACTTTTGGTGCAACATATAGTATTTCTGCCAGAATACTTGTATAATTCAAAATTCCTGGTGGTGAAAAGTTTTATAAAATGTTATTCCCATGAAACACAGCTTTTGATATTGGAGTTGTAGGACAGCCATTAGCTCAGCTGTCTCGTGAAAACTAATTTAATTTCTCTAAACTGAGGCTGCTCAAACCCTACAGTTGGTAAGATGATAATTGTTCCTAACCTTTCCCCAAAACTCTGCTTCAAATAATTTAGATCATGTCGTTAGGGTGCTACATTGACTATTAACTGGTGCAGATTGTCCTCTGTTGCCTTTCAACAATTTGTTTCGACCTGTCTGACCACGACTCGTTTTGAAATAGACACAAGTGGAGCTTGAACATGAACAGACCAAAGACAGGATAAAAATAACCGTCGCAGGAAAACATACATACTGGTAATAAAACTCTAAATCAGCGAGGTTGAAGCCGAGATATTCTAGAGCTTTATGTGCAATAAGAATCATTTTAGTGTTTGCTCGTGGCCACAAAATGACCAAGAAAACAAAGATGAATGGAACTATTGACTTTAAAAACGACCCTTTGAAAGCACTGCCCGAGCTCTATCCACCGCCATTTATTATATTCATGAGTGTGACCTGTCGAGGGTGGGGGGGTGGTGGGAGGCTGGAGGGGGAGGTGATGAGCGCCCACCTGCTCCTCTCAGCTTCTAAGACACTGGCTGCCAGGAGATCAAACAGGCCTTGTCGCTCCCCTCTCTTCTCCTCCTCTCCCTGGCAAGTTCTATATAGGAGGCGACTGACCCACTTTTCCTCCCTCCCTGTGAGCTATTACCTGGAGAAAATGGAGTGATGTGGTGCAGCGAGTGCGTTGGGGTGGGTGGGTTTGCGGGCCTGAACAAAAGCTTCTCATCTTCTTCTCCTGCTGTACAGAGATGAAGGAGCAGCTAGGACTCATGAAGAAAGCTTGTCATTTTTTATTTTTTTTATTTTTTTATCAGATACTATCGCGTGTGAGATTGTTTCTCTAATAGCATATCTTGGTTGGGTGTAAGGCTTTGCATCTGTGAAAGTGCACGCGTTAGCTCTGTCTCGCTCAGAATCCGGTGCTTTAACAGGAGGGATCTCATTGGGATGGCAGCGGCGTTTTTGAAATAAACTAGACATGAGACAAATTTGCCAAACAAATGGATAATTTGACAAACACCGCAGGAACAAATGGAACCAGAAACACAGCATAGGTTCCACTGCGCTGAAGTGAAATTATGTACAATCCTGGGGGGCTTTGTGCGAAACAAGCATTGTTTTTGCAGGTTTAGGTATTGATTGACCATCATTGCTAGTGCCATGATGTTCCATGACAATGACCAATTTTTCTTGATTCTTTTTAGCAGAGCTTTTACCTCTCGCCCTTTTTGCTTCCTTCGAAAAATATTCAGGCTTCTTTTGTGACCTTTCCTCTCTTGTTCATACAGGCCTCACATGGTGACAGAATACATGGGCATCAGGAATGAGAGTTTTATGAAGATTGCTGCAGTGGGGACATGGATGGGAGATTTTGTGACTGCTTGGATGGTGAGATTTGAGCTCCTGTGTTTCCTTGAATCTCAATATACTACATTTAAAATGAATAAAACTCATTTTTCAACTATTTTATTCTAAAACCAAATTGATAAAACAAAAAAAATCATTTTAGCTCTACCGTATTAGCAGCATGACTGGGTAAATAACATAGTTTGGGATTTTAGCAATAAGGGAGTAATTGGTCTCTCTAAATCAACTTGTCCAGATTGGCCTTCTGAGGTCTCAGAATGTTGACACGCTTTCAGACTTGTATGTAAAACATAATTTATGCAGCTATTAAATCTGTTTATTTATAAGTGGGAAAAATGAATGTTGATGATTTTTATGTGTGCACTGTACAAGAAAACCAGTGAAATGGTTTAACGACATGTATTTCTTTTTGTCTTGCAAAAGATGTACTTTTTTATAATAGAACTTTGAACGGATTGATTTGATCCCATTGTGCAAACCCTCAAGGTTGCTCCATCTTTAACCTTTTATGCATGAAAGAATTAGCAGCTTTTATACTCAAAGGTGGCATGTGGACAAAACTCAAACAGTGAGTACTCACAAAAGTATTCAGAACAATAAAACCATGTGTGCACGTGTTTTGGTGCAACTCTTCTTCATTTCCAGTTTCCAGGAATAGATAAGAATGCAGCTGCGTATGCCACTCAGACTGCCCTGCCCTCTGAAAAATAAATACGCAAATGTTTATGTATACATGGCAGGCTTCCAGTCTGTGTCCAAATAACCCTGGTAAAAGTGTTGAATGAGGCAAAAAATACAATTTTTACTGAATATGAATGAAATATGCTAGTGTCTGTGAGGGAGGCATGTGGTAAAATTTTATTTGGTCAGTAATATGGTTAATGGTGTGCTGCTAATGCC